TCTATCTGGGCGGCCCCCCCGTCTGAATCTGGCAGCTTCTGACTGCAAAAGAATGATCCTTATGTCTTGCACAGCCATTGTAATAGTTTCCATTTTCTGTTCCATTATCCCTATATCTTATCCCTATACTACCCTATGTTATTCCTATACTACCCTGTATTATCCCTACATTACCCTATATTACCCTACATTCTCCCTAGCCTACGGTAGCTGTTGCAACTTAGGATCCTCAAATCCCCTAAAGCCTGTAGTTCCCCTCAGAAAGATAGAATATGGCGTTTAGGGTTTAGGGATTGAATATGGCTTGGGTATGTTCACATACCCCATATTGTATCTACTTAAGGGGAACAATAATGCAGAAGGCTGATCTGAGTACCATGATAACCATTCTCTGTACCAACGTTGAAGCTAAAGTATATCATTCATACCCGAAACCCTAAACCCTAAACCCGAAACCCTAAACCCGAACCCGTAGTCTACGTATTTAGGCCCCTACATTACACGCCGGGGCCCTACGGCCGAAATATGGACAGGCCTGATCTAAAAGGAGCTGCGCATGCAGTTCAGGAGTCAAGACTTGGGTTGTGGTTAAGGAACTTAAGTTAGGTCACCATAATGTGGGTCTATATAGTAAATAACAGGGTTTCCTTGCTGTAGTAATCTAAGTTAAGCTCCCTAACAAAGAGCCAGAAACATGCTGGCCTTTCTTATGGCAAATCCTGGCGTAGGGAGAGGGGCTATCTGGCGCGTACCTTTTGGACGCAAGTTCAAAAAATGCCTTCATCCTCATGAGCGCAGTCTTTCGCGGCAGAAAAAAACCCAAAAAGATCTTGTAGGACATCTTGGCAGCAAGCATCCAACAGTTTCCTCATTTGGGAACGGCAGTAATGCAAACTAAAGGAACCACGCAAAACATCGATTGATCGAGGATCCCATGCGGAGGCCTACCACGCTCTAAGCAAATCCTACACCGGGTCGCAAACAAGTTGCGTCTCATGTTGTCTAAACTTGGGTGGGTGACATTAATGGGACTACCTGAACCCCAAAAGTAGGTAAAATAATAGCCCAAAACCCCTAAATATAGCCCAAAAGGCCATTATTCTACCTACTTTTGGGGTTCAGGTAGTGACCAGGGCTTACCGAGCTCATGTGACAGACTTGCCGTTGAGCTGGAGCTTCTATATTTGCAATGATAGCAGCACATTTACCGTTCCTGGCGAGAACCTTCTTCAGCTCATTGAAGGCTAGATGGCGCAAATCTGCAAAGTGATGTCCTCTGGATGGGGATTGCAATGTTTTGAGAATATATATATAGAGGAGGACCGTAGTCGTTTGAAACACCACCAACAGGCAAATGATGATTGCACGAAGCGCGGGAATGCTCGCTGTAGAACATGCACTCAAGACTGCCACTGTAATCCTCGCGAAGAGCTCAATTAGATCATGCACACTATGAATTCGCCCTAAACCCTAAACTGCATGTAAAACCATCATCATGTAGGCTTGGGTTTCCTCGAAGAGAGCCGTGGAAAACGCTTGGGCCTCGCTCCCGATGTGGTTTGGTCCCGGCAAGGCTACCAGCTGGGGCTTGTGAACTTCTGCACACGGAGGTCGCACTGGAGAAATTCGTGTTCGAACCCCAGGCGAAAGAGGTCAGTTCGGCCTCACTGAAATGTACAACTCTGTGGGTCGGAATGAACCTGGGATCTGTACAGCCCAGCGCACAAGGACTCATAGATCTCCCTAAGAATAGGAAGCCCAAACTCATCCTGCCACACAACTGCCTTATTTGGCGCTCTTCCAGAATGGCGGCAGAGAATGCTTAGGAACAGTCAGAACTTGCAGCCCCAACATCAGTCCAGGAGCCTGTATATGAAGCAGCCCCTGCCTCAGGCAGCTGGAGGGCATACAGAGGCAAAGGCGGTTCACCATCCTGGCTGCATGCAAGAGAGTCAGAGGACTTGTCGCGCGTGGAACTCGTATGATGCACCGGGAATGCTCTGGCGTCTGCATTGCTGTTGAGGCTGTCGCTGAGGAGGCAAAGTCCGTCATTGGAGGCTACCAGGCTCATGGCGTGCTCCACACAGGGGAGGGGGCCATGGGCATGCCTCTCTTCCAGCAGCTGGTGGAGCTTACGTTCCACCACAGCACCTGGCACCATCCGAAGAGCTCGCTGTACCAGGCTCCGCAGCTGCAAGGTGCTGAGCTCAGCTGCCTTCAAGACATCAGGCAACACCATTACTGCGGCCCGCACTACTTCATTGCTTTCGCTGTACCAAAGTGCTTGCAGCACAGCAGTTGCTACAACTTGATCCACTGAGCCCCTGCCTTCTTCTGAATAGGATGACAAAGCAAGCTGCAACAGCAAACCATGGGCTCTGCGCCGCGGGTCTGCGTGCTCCAACACTAGGATCACACTTTCCCGTGGCAGAGCTGCAGGACCGATCTCACATAATGCATCTGCGGCACTGTCGCGCACAGACTCGTCGTCCTCCAAACACAATGTGATCAGGCGCGGCACTGCCTGAGCTGCTGCCGAGCCCATCTGGCCCAAGGCAACTGCGGCACTTTTGCGCAGAGCACTGTCTTCATCCTCAAGCGCCCTGATCAGCAGCGGCACGGCTTCACCTGCTGCAGGACCCATCTGGCCCAAGGCAACTGCGGCGTGCACGCGCAACCTCCACGCTGGACTCTCGAGCAGTTTGATCAGATGCGGCACAGTTTCACCTGTTGCGGGACCTATCTGGCCCAGGGCAACTGCGGCGCACCTAGGCGCGCTAAACTCGAAAGCTTCATTCTCGAGCTCTTGATCCTGGAGTAGTTTGATCAGCTGCGGGACAGCTTCACCTGCTGCAGGACCGATCTGGCCCAAGGCTTGTGCAGCGTGCCCGCGCACCCTCCACTGGTTAACTTCGAGTTGGTAAGCCTCGAGGATTCTGATCAGTTGTGGCACAGCTTCGGCCGCTGCAGGACCTATCTGGCCCAAGGAATTTGCGGCTAGGATTTGTGCCCAAACATCTTCGGGGTCCTCGACCTCGAGCACTTTGATCAGATGCGGTACGGCTTCAGCTGCTGCAGGACCGATCTCGCCCAAAACCATTACGGCATCATCACGTCCCGCATACCCTTTTTTCTCGAGCATTTTAATCAGCCGCGGCACAGCTTCAGCTGCTGCAGAACCCATCTGGAGCATAGCTTTGAAAGCATGCTTGCGCACCAAAGCATCTTCGCGATCGAGAAACTTGATCAGCTGTGGGACACCTTCAGCTGCTGCAGGACCCATCTGGCCCAAGGCCTGTGCGGCCCCCCGACCGCATTTGGGATTCTCCAGCAGTTTGATCAGCTGCGGCACAAATTCACCTGCTGCAGAACCCATCTGGCCCAAAACCTCTGCGATGGCCTCTTCGACAGGCAAGCTCATGCCTTGGTCCTCGAGCAATTCGATCAGCTGCGGCACAAATTCAGCTGCTGCGGGACCCATCTGGCCCAGGGCAACTGCGGCGCGCTGTTTCTCGCGGATCTCTGAGTCCTCGAGCAGTTTGATCAGCTGCGGCACAGCTTTGCCTGCTGCAGGACCCATCTGGCCCAAGGCCACTGCGGCATATCCGCGCACCTTATGGTATGAGTCCTCGAGCAGCGTGATCAGCTTCGGCACAGCTTCAACTGCTGCAGGACCGAGCTGGCCCACAGCAATGGTGGCACGCATGCGAATATAATCGTCTTGACATTCTAGCGCCTTGATCAGCTTCGGAACAGCTTCAACTGTTGCAGAATTAATCGCATAGTCTTTGTGGTTTGGCGGGGACTTCAGCCAGAAACCCTTTGTACCGCCACCTCTGCGGTGGCAACACTTTAGTTGCAGCAGGGATTTTCTTAATTTAGATAGCATCTCTTCAATGCTGACCTGTTCTTGAGCAAAGGGTGCAGCCTCAGTAGTGAGCGCGAATCGAAGCTTTATCACTCCATGAGGTTGCCCTATGAGCTTCACTACTCAGCAATTCCAAGAAGTATGGCTGGCAGGGAGCTGCAGCACATGGCAGCTTGCAACCATCAAGAGCGAGGTCCCGTTGACCGGAAGACAATTTGAAATGCAAGTGTACAAAGGCTGAGCAAGTGTACTGCAGCTCTTGCGAAGCCATCCACTAAATCATAACTTATAAACTCCAAATTAGGATCGGGTTGCGGATTTGAGATTTACAGCCTAATTTAAAGCTGCCAATCAGGTGCCTTCGATTTGAAGATTAAGTTTGCCTGGCTGCAAGCTCAAGATCAGGGTACTGTGGTGTTTCATCATATGAGCTAGTCCCATCAGCGGGATTGAAGCTTTTGGGCTCAGAAAGATTGACTCTGGTTGGGTAACTCAAATGTTATATACGGGTCGCACTAGCAACTCAATTTAAGAAGTCCCCCCTGGCCCTCCAAACAGTTTAAAGAAGGCATCTCTCCTGCAAGTAGCTAACCTCTACACATGCGGACATTTCCAGAAATTAGGAATCCTTTTTGTCTGCGGCCTTCGCAGTACAGATTAATGATCTAAGCATGCTGAATATTGCGGATTTTGTTGCGGAACCCCTCGAGGAAATCTGGACTCAACTTGCCAGACCCCAATCCTGGTGACTTTAACCTTAATTTTGGTTAGCTAGGAATGAAGGGGTGGATCCTTATAGTAGTCCCTAGCTACCCATTATAGTAGTTTCCATTTGATTTTCCATCCCTTCATTCCCAGCTAACCAAAGGTAAGTACTAACCCTAAACCCTAAGCCCTTCTCCAAGCTCACAAAAACGAATTCGCCAAATGCGCAGCGCAGCTCGAGGCAAGTCCATGACCTTGATATCCTTAGACCCTCTTGAAAGGCAAGCTGCTTGGTAGTTCGAAATTGGCTGCTGAGCTATAGGCCTCGAAGAGTACCAGATCTTCAAGCAACTCACACACAGTCCGACTGCAGAAGACAAAACGCTCTAAACCCTAAACCCTCAACCCAGTCGTCGCTCTTTCTGTCTCACTCGCCGGCGCTCGGAACCGGTGCAGCGGTGCTGCCTCTGCAGGGAAGGCGGGATATGAGCCTGGAAGAATAATTACCGACAGACCGTGCTATGATTACACAAGGAAGCTATGATCAAAAGAGTGGTGATCATTCTGGCGCTTGTAGTACCTGTGCTCCATTGTGGTTCACCACTTCTTGACTGGCTTTAATCGCAGCCAGCAAACCTTCAACCCCAACGCCCCACGACAAGATTCTGTCAAAGCCTGAAGCCTGCAACCCCCAAACCGCAACACTATACACTCCCGGAAACTAACATGGAAACCCAAAAGAGGCCCAATAAAGACTACAGTCCTTCTAAAAGGGTACTATATGGGTTTCCATGTTAATTTGGGGGAGTGTACAACACGCAACCCAAAAACCAATCTCTGCGATCCCTAAGCCTACCAAACGAATCCCAATGCCTGAAATCCCTTACAAGCCAAACGCCTGCAATCCATAGGCTCCACAACCCAAATGAGGCATAGTCTGAACTCTTAGTATCCCCCTTAGCAACCCCTATAATAGTCCCGTATATGATCCCTAACATTACTACGTTAAGGAGTTTAGACCCCAAACCAGCAACCCTATACAATCCTTCCATAACCCCCGTTAAGGAGTTTAGTTTGACCCAAAACCCTCAACCTACATAATCCCTTTATAAACCCCGTTAAGGAGTTTAGATTATGGCTCAAATGCCAGTTCGGTGGGCCTTCCGCCTCCGCGCCCTCACGGGCACAGCGCTTGGTGCCTCTCCGACGCTCCTCTCCGAAGGTCGAGGTTTAGAGTTTAGGCTTTGCAGTCTAGGGTAGGTTTGGGGGCCCCATAAAGTTAACGTACTTGTGGTTGTATAAGGATTTTATAGGGATGAAGTGGGTAATGAACATTAACAAGTCTTTTGAAATCTACCCCCGGAAGGTAAACATATTTATATGCCAATTGCAATCTCCAACCATTTTCCGGCTTCAGGCAGGTTATCCTATTAGAAGTGCGTTGGGGGAGAAATTGGTCGTTGTTGTTCGTGAGGGTTCTGGGAAAAATCTTTGTAATCCTTGCTTGTGTGACTACGCGTTCCACATTGTGGGACTTTCAATATGCCTGGTTGTAGCAGACAGGCTTGGACAATCGGTCTCGTGGATTGTTCTAGTGTGGGACCCTGCCACTGTTCAGCGAGTGCTGCCTATGAAGAGTATGCACTGGGTTTCAGCATGCTTGCAGCTCAAACTTGAACAGGTGATGCTGATCCTCTCTCCGGTTCCTGGGACACATACAAAACCTGACACCATCTAGTTGACCTATGGTCGTGACCCAAAAACCTGCGACCCATCCCTCTAAACGTAAACCCCACTCCCAAGCGCTAACGAAGCCCCAAACCAAGGTTAAGACCTAACCCTAAACCCTAAACCCTAAACCCATAAACCCTAACTTGTGAGCTTTGAACTGAAAGCCTTCATCCTGGGTTTGGGTCAGCTGCTTTCATCTCAGCAGCCCAAGTGGACTCATAGACCCTACCTACCAGGACCCTCCTTGTACCCTTAATTGGGGATATATGGTCCTTAATAGTGGGTACTTAGGCCCTAATAGAGGGTAGGAGGAGGGTCTAGGTAGATCTCCCACATAACCAAAGACAATCTGACTGGAGGCTTACTATCATGGGTGTTGGGGAGATCTAGGTAAACCCATCAATGACGGTCCAACAACCGTCAATAATATATAACCCCTACGTGAACTACCCTATAATCCCAGTTTCCATTTCATTTTCCATGCTCTCTTCCATTTGATCCTCCATTATAGGGGGATAGGGGGATACCAATATAAACCCATATAAACCACTATAACCCAAGGTAAACCCATATAAACCAATAAAAACCCATATAAACCATATAATAACCCAATATAAACCACTATAAACCACTATAAACCCATATAAACCAATATAAACCCATATAAACGAAGGGTCCTCCAAAGCTGCTTTGTAAGGCGCAGCGATGGGCGGTGCAGGCGGCTCGAGGACGCGGTGGTCGCTGGCTACCGGGTAGCTGGTGTCCTTACGTTGACTTTAGGCTTTAGGGTTCAGGGTTTAGGGGTTTAGGGTCTGCAGGTCTTACTAATGCAGACCCCTGCTTTGTAAACCCCCTCCTTTTAAGGGCCCTGATACTAGGATCTCTATCATAATCCCTATTAAGGGGAGGGGGTTTATTAATCATGGGTCAGGGTTATTACTGTAAGGGTTGGGTGTCCATAGGTTTGGGGCTATGGGGGTTAGGGCTTCCGCCTCAAGTACCAAGCCAACCTGAACACGGATAAGGTGATATGCTCTGCGATCACACTGTCACACCGTCCCGTGCATGCCGCTTCATGTGCGACAGCACTGTTGATACGATACTGGCCTACATACCACAAAACTGCCTTCTTTGTGGAGGGTCATGTACCCACCATGACTCTATTGCAGACGCAATCCAGAGACGACATGGATCTCCATAAAAGGACTTCAGGACACTTTGCATTACCCTCAAAATTCGGCGCGCTCAGCCCTTTACCATCAGCAGCCGCACACATTCCACATTCCAAACCCCTGACTTGAAAAATATTTCTTCTGGGGGCTAGTATGGAAGCTGGGACTATATTTCATAGGGATTACATTCCCTGAAACCTAAACCCTAAACCCACCATTCCCTACCATGCACCAGTAAATTTCATGAAGGAATAATATTTTTTGACTTTTTGCAGCTCCAGGCTCTGCATCCAGGCTGTCGCCTCAAGCCGCTTCTATGTTTGGGTTTAGGGTTTAGGGTAGGATTATGAGTTGTCAGGGGTACAAGTGTTTCAGCGGCTTGCAGTGTCTTAATTCCAGGTGGTTTACTTCAAGGTGCAGGATTTAGGGCTTCAGAGGGTGATGCGAGATGGTGAGCAGGCATGCAGGGATTGCCTTGGCAGAATAGTGTAGAGGCCACAAAACCCTGAACTCTGAAAGGGCTCCGTCCTGCACTCAGGCGTACGAAAGATGCAGCTATTCCACGCAGAAAAATGTGTACCAGGTACAAACTAAAAAGGATGAGGAGCCAATACTAGAAGCCTGCAGACTACATGAAACCTTTCAAAAGCGAGCCTTCCGCAATAATGAATTCTCCCAAAATAAAACTATTGTCTAATGGGGGGGAGATTTACCGTAAACCCTAATTTGGCGGGGCGGGCACAGACCAAACCCCCCATGTCATGCCGCGCCACGCCCTCCGCAGGCCACGAAGGGAGCAGCCAGTGAGTCCAATCCAGGTCCGAGGTCGGCTAAGACCTTTCAACTTTCTGGGAGTAAGTTGGGCATAAGGGAATATCACAGGGTTTAAGGTTTAGGGTTTAGGGGCTAGGGTTTAAGGTTAGTGAGGAAAAGAGAAAATATGTTGGATATATAAACATATAATGTACGAGATACATAGGGGTAGTCCCTTTTTTCCTACCCAGAAACTTCTCGCAGCCCTAAACCTCAGAACCTTTAATTCTGTTTAGGGCTTATAGGGCTTGAACCCGAACTTCTTTTTCAAAAAGAATCAGTTGAACAAAGTCCAAACTCAGAATCCCAAACCTGAAGAATCTGGGCCTTGGATTTGCAGTTGATGGATTTGAGGTATAGGGTATAGATGTAGCGTACATGGCTCAGATGTAAGACTTAAGATACCAACATGTACGGCTTTTCTTTAGGTTCTAGCGGCCTCTCTGGCGTGGCTAAGAAGCTTTCTAACTTTGCCGAGGCGGGGGGTTCTTTTTCTGGGTCGTTCTGTCAAAGAACTGGATGAGTCAGTGCAGGGTCTGCATTCTTCCGCAAGCTCAATCCAAGCCCTTGGCCCAAAGCTGACAGCCCTACACCCTGGAGCCTAAACTTACTGATGGCAAGAGGAGAATAAGGGAACATATTTCCCATATGACATATTCATTTCTTCCCTACTAAGCCCCAGTAAGTACATCCTTATCAGACCCAGAGCTCGGAATATGATTTTAGACCGTTCCTGCACCTGATTTTGCCCAAAGGCTCGGTGACCGCGTATATTGGTGCTCTGGATGGTTAAAGGTTTAGGGTCCTTGCCCATCATCCAACCCGCAATAAAGGCCCTGAAGCCGCAGCTTGTCTCAAGCACATGCGGTAGGTTCCCAAAATAGGGGGACCCCAATATAGACCCCAAAATACGATAGTCCTTATTATGGGGATTCCCCAAAAAAGTATCCCTAATTTTGGGAAACCCCTATGTACAAGCGCCCTTCCAGTTTTTGGCAATGTGGGAATATCTCCACATGAAACCGGCAGTTGTAATCCCGGGGGGTGTGTGCAAGGAGTGTAAGGGGTTCTTCACGGTACTTCATTGCCTCCTCCCATGCTCCCTCATAAACATGGCAGAGCCTTGTCTTCCCAAGTCAAAGAGAGGTAGAAAAAACTAGCCGCCTGAGCCTGACATTGTGCGGAATCTAAGCTTGCCAGCCAAAAGCCGGGCCCGCTTTGGAAGAGGGATCCTCATAGTCCAGCTTAAAGCTCCCAGTTGCCTAAACAATGGGTTCTGGGTTCTATATACCCTATAATTACATTGCCCAGTAACCTACTATTTAGGTAACTGGGAGCCCTAGGTAATTTATTCCACTCAAGCATCTGTGGACTCTGAACCCTGCCTCCCCATTTGAGGACTACACTAGCTGTATCCATGTCTCATCCAAGGATGCCTGCAGACCGATGTGTTGCGTGAGGTGTGCCTGGGGCTTCTGAGAGACAACCCATACATGGAGCCTACTCTACACCCTGAACCCCAAACACTAAACCACCCAAAATCAGCAGACCAACCCTGCTTCGCGTATCTAAAACAGAAGCCGTCACATCCACCTCACATCCTTATCCCTACACCCCAACCACGTCACCCAAACATGGGTTTCTCTTAATGAGCTTCAATTCAGGTGAGTGACCATGATAAGAAAATCTTACTTTCTATGTGTGTGTGTATATATATATATGTCCGTGTTCTGGTAAGTTGTGTCAGGGACACCTCGGCGCCTATTGCATCCCTGCACGACCCTGCTATTAACTCTGCATGCTCTGAACCCTAAACCCTAATCACTACACCCTCAACCTGTAGTTTCCTTGGACCCATACTAGAAAATGGATTTCAATTTTTTGCTTAGGGTTATACTATAATAAAATTTTGAAAATTCCTAAGGACAGTACAGTAACCCCTTTGGGGTAATCTCGGGCCTCGTGTCGCTCTGCCGCATAGGCCTGACTTTGCTTCACGGAACTCACTTTAACTTCTGGTTTCCCATCGCAAAGTATCCATGTAGGTATATGAGAACTTCCCATATAATCTAATGGACATAAGTTGATACTATGCATACCTATATGGACCCTTTGGGTGTTAACGGGTCATAGGGCATGCTACTAGACAAATGGCTCAAACGTTTGAGTCCTTTTGGGGCCCTTCTGTGTAACTGCCAAAAGCACTAATACTAGTACTCGCGCGAATAGTGGAACTTGAGATTTTCATCCTTTCAGACTGCCAGTAAGCACAACCCCCATCATACTGCACTAAACATTCCGCATAAGAGACCTTGTATTTGGGGGCCTATCTAATTTCAGGGGTGAGGAGTGTGTTGCATGTCAGTATGAACGGATCAAGAGGTGTAAGCTGCCAAGACTGAGATGCGCTCCGTGTAGCCGTCAGGCAAGTCTGCCAGGAATCCGCGGCACACCTCGAAAGTGGTTAGGGAGCGGGGGGTCCTGAAATCCACGGGTCAGAGGGCTTCCTGTTTAGGATGTTTCCTGTAAGAACTGGGGTAAGTTGTGGGCACAAGGCAAAGATGCTGCTTTTCAAGCTAGTACATGGGCATGGCCAGGTACGCTCAAGCTAACTTGAATGCATGTTAAAGTGTCTGCATTCGCGGCCTTTCTTAGAATCGGCAACACAACTGATCTGTAACTTCTTGGCTGTTTCAGCGCAAAAGGCGATGCGGGTTGAAGTGAAGGGGTTCCAGGGTTAAGGGAAACGCTCACTGCGGCGTTGGGCTCTAGGGTTCTGAGCTCAAAAAGCTATACGCTCATCTTTGGACAGCTGCAGGGGTGATGTAATATCCTAATTATGAAAAACTACAACGCTGTAAGGCTACAAACGCTACACATCCACATGGATCCTTTGGGATTAGTCTAGAATCCCAGGGCCACATTATCTTGAAGAGTGCGCAAGCCTTGGAGCACCGGGTTTGGAGTTTGAGCTTGGTTTTTAGTACGGAGTGTGCTTGAACGTGCCAAAGTGGCTAGCTCATGTCTGCGAATCATTACCCCATGTATGTACCCTAAACCCTAAGCCCGAAACCCTACTTGTGGTCCAAAAACGTTCCCAATTAGCAACTTCAAGGCCCAAGTATATACTATAAAGCTACATGGACCCTTTGGGTCTTGGCTTTAAGGATTTGGGGTTTGAGGTTCAGGGATCTACCTTTTAGGGATATTACCCCTATAATGGAGAATCAAATGGAAAAGCAAATGGAAAATGAAATGGAAACCCTAGGTCCCTTTAAGGTGTATATGGGTGGTTGTCAATATTATGGTCCCTTTTGGGATCCCTATTATAACACGGCACCTAATATTTAGGGTACGCAAAAGACGACCCTAATTTTGACAACCACCTATATAGCTAGATGGACCCTTTGAGTTAGGACTTCTGGGTTTGCATCATCAATGGGAGAGACCTGCAAGGTCTTAGTCTTGGTTAAGGGTGCGCTGGCCCTAAACCCTGCACTCCTGAAACCCTTGTCTGGGTTCCTGTGAAGAAAATTAGGTTTATAGGGTTTAGGGTTAAGCCAAGTTACCATAGTGGGTATATGTAAATATACATACACATATATAGACAGTAATATGGTTACTAAGCTACCGTAATCGGTATACATGGCAAGTAATACAGTTCACCATTATTGTAATTCATGTGAAGTTCCTCGACAGCAATCCAGTTGTAACCTCTACATATCGCTGCCAGGAAAAGCCCAGGGCCGCTAGCCAGACTTCTAGGCCTTTTTGTTTGA